CTGATGTGAGGGGCACATTATACTTCCACGTGATTTCTGTGCGGTTGGTCTCTACGTTACATACTTAGTGGAAACCTCATAGAAAGCGGTGAGTGTGCAAAGCTGTGTTCAAAGTGATTGAAATCTTGGTTTGGAGTTTCTTTGTTTGGTTATGGAGGCGTCTGGCCGAGTGGATTGCTATCAACTTGATCTTTCCAGGCTCTGAGGAAGGTGAAATCCGCCGAAACGTCAGCTTAATCGTGAACAAAGAATAATAACGCCTCGTGTTTGCTCAACAAAAATACGAACAAAATCACTTGAACAATGCCGAGGTTAATAGAAAGTCGGTCGTGGCAAGTTTATTTGTTCCAGTTTTACACAATTCTAGAGTTTTGGAAGCACTGACTTTGTTTAAAGCATTTCTGCGTCATCGTCATTGGCGAGACATTTCTCGCGCAGGAAGTTGTGAAGGCGCTTGAAGAAGTGTTAGTCGATAGACGAGAGGCTTGATAAATATAGAGAATGAAGGAAAGTTTCGTAGTCCAGCTCCTTCAACTTTTGCAACTCTTGTTTGCGCAATGTGAAGCCTAGCATGTCGTTGAGAAAGATTGGTCCTTTTCTGTTGACTTATTCCGTCGTTGTTGTTAGAATTTACGATGAATTTCTTCCGTTTGTTGGCAACACTTCTCTACCGTGATCGCTTCGCCACGATTCAAAAAGCTGTGATGAAGCAGCCCTGCTGCAGACCACCAAACAGTCACCACAACCTTTTTTTGGTGCAATTCCGGCTTTGGGAAGTGCTGTGGAGCAGCCTGATGGCAAGCCATCTATTAATCAGAACGTCGCCCTTTGTCGTACAGAATCCAATTCTCTTCGCACATCTCAATTCGACCAAGAAAATGGTCGTTTTCGTTGCGCCGAATAGGAACGGACGACGCTTCAAAACGGCGATTTTTTTGATTACCGTTTAATTCATGCGATACCCACTTGCCGAGCTTTTTTGTCCTTCCTATGTGAATTAGGAGAGTGGAAATCGTTCCTGTGCTTACACCGAGCTGTTTTAGAAGCTCTCGAGCAGTTCTTCGCATGTTTTCTTCCACTAGTGCCTTCAATTCATCTAGTTAAGTTCACTGAGACGTCGACGGCTTTCCTTATCTTGGGTGTCGAAATCATTAGGTCGGAATTTCCGGAACCATGTTCACAGTGTTGATTCACCAACACTACCCTCACCCTAAACTTCAAATATTTCGAGCTGTCTCTGCTGTACTACGACCGAGTTTAAACTTATAAAAAAATTTGACGAAAATTCGTCTTTGAAATTTAAAATTGCAAAGGTCAAAATTAGTGAAAAAAATTTACTTTTGGCAAAATATAGAAGTATGTTGCAAGTACATCTCGTAATAACTCCCAAGTCCGACTTTCTATTAACCTCGGCATTGATTGAATAATTCTTTCTACTTCTGTTCAGCAAACACGAGGTATTACTTAATTTCCGTTATGTCTCTGCGTCCTATGCGTGACTAGTGGAGTATTTGGTTTACGTTTGCCGACTAGGTGTTCTTTTATATGCACGCAAAGTGGTCTACCCGTTTCGCCAACGTATTCGTCCCTTAACGCTTTACAAGAGATCAGATATACTGTACTCGAACTCATGCAATCACCGTATTTACCATTGGGGCAAATTATGCAATTTTGGGTTGCACATAGACGGTCGTATAGGCGGTGACGAACTAACTGGCGCTTTAGATTACTCGGTGGTATTTCGATTATCGTTACCGAATTCTCTAAACTGGCCCTTCTTAAACAGCGTTTTATAGCTGCACTTACTTCATTTGAAATGAAGGGCAGTATAAACGGCACCGTATTGTTGCTAGAGTTGTCGTTGGCGTACCTGTGGTTTCCTCTACATCTACTCCTTGCTGCAGTTTCGTAGCCATTAAAATTGGCTATTTGTCGCGCCAAGTTCCGGGACTCCTCTCTCTGCTGTCTTCCTGTGCATACGCTGGTAGCTGTTCGAAACATGTTTCTCACAAGCGCCCCCGACACCCAAGATAAGGGAACGAAGATGTTTTTACTACTTGGCTTTCGATACCATTTCGTAATGTAGCCGTTTTCTGATAGGCTAGATTGCACGTTCAGAAATGCAAGCCAGTTTTCTTTTGGTTTCTCTCGGGTGAACTTAATATACTCTGACTGTTCGTTCAACAACTCGGAACATTTGTCGATTTCTTCTAGTGTTGAACAAATGACCAAGCAGTCATCTACATATCTACAGTAGAGTAACGGACCGAGGTCGATTACTGGCGCTTCCACCTTAGACGTGTTTGCTGAACAGAAGTAGAAAGAATTATAAAAATATGTCTAGAAAAAGCATAAAATCTTTTTCATTAACATATAATAACGTCATTGGAAACGGACAGAACGAGAACGCACGCAGCACGCCAAGGAGATTTCTTCTTGCTCTGTAGTTGTAACTCCAGAACATAGGAATGGCCAACGAAAATGAATACGGAATAGGGAACTTCAAAACAGAAAAAGAAAATGAGAACGTAACCCTTTTGTAGAACTCCTGTCTGCACTAGGTACATTGAAATTCGGTTTTGGAGTAGAGAAAAAGTAACCGATGGATATGGGAGTCTCCCAACAGCGCGACTCATGTGGACTTCGATCATATTCTCACGAAAAGAAAATGGTTCCTTTAAATAGCTCAGCGCTACCATTATTTTGTATAGGATCGGATCACCGTTTTCTCCGTGCGAAGATTTGATTCAGCCATAAAATGGAAAATAACCCCTGTCATCGTTCAAGGAAAACAAGAAAAGTCGTGCATGACGAATATATTCTTAATGAAATTCCTCATATGACTGGATGATAAACGAAAATCCGACAGAGTACAATAAGCTGCGTGTTGAGGGAACTAAAACTTGTGCCGAACTAGCCTCATTTTGTCAAAAAAGATGTTCGGACGCTTTCCAATTACCACCAAAGAGTTGCCTGAAAGAAGGAGTAAACTGAAGTTTGATCCTGCTGCATTACACCTAAGACGGCTGATAATAAATGCCAGCAGCGGAAGATCCTTTCAGGAGAATCTACATCGGTATGGGCAAAAACACGAGGAACGGATTGGTTTTTTATGCCCAACTGCCGCTCAACGGTAGGAACATTTCCGAATTCTTAGCTACATCTATCCAAGTCGGGAAATCAACATAATGAACGGCATAGCTCCAAAGTTGAACAAAAGGAAGCGAACGGCTTGGGGAGTTTTCAAGAACATTAAGACTGTAGTGAAAACAACAGGGAACACCTGGCACAGTGCCCACCGTTTCGACTCCACGATTCTTCATGCCTGAACATGTATAACAGAGAAATGTTCGCTGATTACGCAAGATTAAGGATCACTCCCTGTTAAATGACGCACAAGGACGATGCTAGGAGGAACACGCATCATGGAAGTGAGGGACGGAATCCGAAGCTCCGATCTACGTCAACAGTAAAAAAATTGAAGATGCCGTTTCATGCGTTAAATTGCTGGAGATAAGATGTGCTGGAAACGCATTGACTATGAACGACAACCAATGGACAAGAGCCGTTAGTGACTAGATTTCTCGGGATGTCAAACGTACTGTAGGAATACCATCGCTCTGATGCGCAGAGTTACTAGTTTTGAAAGCGTCAGGGAGAACGCTAGAGGACTAAATGTACCGCTCACAACCCACATGACATTTTTCCTTCAGAAGAAGAAAATCTTAGACAAGTGAGTACTTCATGAACGGTCATTACACCGAGAAAAGGTAACCGAAGTAATTTTCACAACTTTGGTTCAGTATACTTGTTGAGTATACGATGTGCGCAGTGTATTCCACCAGTTATAGACGAAGATTATCCTACTGCGCACATCGAAGATCTTGGATGGGAAATTTCGACAAAGATTCTGCTGCATGGATCACACACGAACCGAATTATGAGTAGTAAAAGCTCGTCAGCATGCCCTTTGCTCTTTTTCCATAAGCCTTTTGTTCTCTTCTTTTTGAGCTATGAGGAAACTCTTGTCAGCGTCGAAAGAAACCCAATCCAATCAGTGCTGGTCTATCGCGGAGTGAACCCTTTTTATATAAAAACTCTGCCTGACTGATATCGAAACTACACTACAAAAACACATCTTTTCCATCGACCTCTTACCACTCAATGAAGTGGGCAAAAGACTGGACTACGTATAAAGCGGAAGAAGACCTAGTTCATGGAGCAAAAGCGAACAAATGGAACTGGATGGTTCTCTGATTACAGAGAGAACTTGTACGTGTAAAGTGAACGTTTATTAAACTTGGAAAAAACACAAAGGAGGACTTTACAGAAGAAGGAGGGTAGCATGGGCCGCATTAGAGCCACTTAAGGGAGCCATAGATCAACTGACGGACACAAAACTCCGCGTTCACCTTTTCTATTGAACAGTCTTCCCAGCGCCCTGTTATACAACAGAAACGTGGGCTGATGCTTGGATCATATCAAGAAGTCTGTGTCCCACCCACAGAGCACTTCGACGATGTCGTCTGAAATTTAAATGGCACTCACAGCGTCTAGCTGGAGTAGCTCAAATCTTCGAGACCTATACTATCTTCGAAATCCAGTGGAACACACATTGATAGTAAAACACAGATGTGAAGGTACCATAATGAGTAAAATAGGTGACAGATGGGCGGATAGAACAGTGGAGTAGACTCTAAGAATATGCGCGCGTTTCCTTCGAGATCACCCAAACTATGGGTGGTTGTGTTCGTGGCCAACGTCAACCATTTGCAATCGGAAATGAAAACGATTCCAGGATTACGGAATGAGCCTCGCACACGTCACCTTGCTTAAAGTGGACCGTCACCGTGGAAGGCGATTGGCCGAGAGAAGAACGATTGGAAATTATGCCGAAGCCCACACAATCGGTGAAAACGGGGCATCCCAGTATCCAAGTATGTAAGCATATATACGTATATATTCTGAATGTGTAATATCATTGCGCACGTTTTGAAATTTTATCTGAAATGAAAATCAGTTCGGCATACCTCTGGGTGGTAGTCGTATTGTTGATAGATGTAGTCACTTTTATTATAAGTCTCTGAATGAATGCAATCTCCATAAGGCTTCGATAAACGCTGGATTAGTTTCTGTAAAGAATTGCTAAGGAGCGAAAAAAATGATTTCTGAAAGAATTAAGAAAATTATCCGTACTTTCTTCATACCAAAACTGCTAGCAAAGCCAACTGGGGCAGAATATCCAAATGTATCCGGAAATGGATATTCCGTAGGAGCGTGGATGGCAAGTCGTACACCTGTGGATTCTGACGTTGTCATATAGTCAGACGTGTTAACAAACAGTAGTACACGAATACCTATAACGAAAGGGTCAGTGGTCGTAAGCAATCAAGCGTCATCGTTCAAAGGAAACTGTGAAAACAAAAGCAAACGAGGTAGGTACCAGAAACTTTTGAAAAGTCGTAGTTATGTGTGCGCCTTCATGCTCCTCAGAAGTTGATATTTTATCACGAAAAATTGTTTTTAGCTAACGAATTTAGTTTGTGATAAAGTATATGAGATTCGAGCATACCATACATCGGTCCAGCTCGACTACTTGTATAGTTATTATTCACGTCATGATTGAAGGTGAAACAGTTGCCAAACTCCGGATCGACATGGATACGAAAGTCCCTGGAAGAATTGTACAATATCTTTTAACAAAAAACAAAGCAGCTGTCAGACATAGCTGTGTAAAAAAAGTAAAGATGAGTGATCGTAAAAAACAATTATCCTGATCATGATTGGAATTAGAACCAGAACCTAGAAGTCAGAGTAACCACTTTGGAAAGTAACATAACCTTTATGATCTCATTTCCACCGTGTTGTCTACAAATCAACTTTTTTTCTGCAATATAATCGGTTCTATATTAACCAATATCATACTTTTATTCGCTTTTAATAACGAGTCGTCTTTGCCGAGTAAATAAATCCTGATAACCCTTCACTGAAAATGTGCTATTGCTTAGCAAATTGTCGTCTTTGAAAAGACACCTACCGTTTCAGAAAAATGTAGAGCAAAAGATTCTTCGCGCTTATCACTATCGGCCCACCATTCCCTGTTTTTATCACTTTTTTGCATCGAAATGTGAAAAATGGAAAGTAATTTAAATACGAAACTTACTCGTCAACATTACACTCGTGTCCATTAAATGAGCACATTTCAATGAACTCGTGTTTGTTTTGCGAAAGAGCAACACGTTGTTCCGATGATAATGCCGACATCGTGAACATCAGATTTTCCTTGGCCTTCGTCAGCATTGCTACACCATCAGTCATTCCCTAGATAACAACAGATGTTTAGTGGCTTAAACTGTTATTACATGCCATAACAACCCCAAATACCAGGATCCAAACCAATACCAGGATCCGTCACCGTCCTGGTAGCAAACTAGTTGCATAGTGGCAAATATCCCTCTGATCCACAGGGGCGGCGACTGCCTGTGGTGCTGACGAAGTGGGGAAGACTTTAGCCTGGCTGACGTCAGGGCTCTAGAGAACCACAACGGCTTAACCAGCAAATTTCCGAAAAATAGAGAATAAGCTGGGGCCGGCACAACCAGTAAGGATGGGACATCCAAGTTTCCAAGTAAGAACTCTACAACATTTTGGTGTAGCTGACGCAACCCCGACCATGAGCTATGTTTCGTTGATTGCCAACTTTCCAGGTTTGTGACGATAAAAAATAGCTTTTCAATGATTAGAGCACATTCTGAGCACGACTAGAGCTTTTCTTCAACGATTTTTTAAATACCGAAAATCCCATGGCTTTGATTGTTTCTGGATTGCTGACGATTGCCCTTTGGTTTGGTCGGCTAGACGTTGCTGAAATACACAGCAAGCATACTTTAACAATTAATCAAGCATAGTACAATTAAGACAAATTGCTTTTATTTTGAGTCGGCTAAAGATTTGTTGAAATGCCATGCATTATTGAGATTAACTGATTCAAAATGAACCGAAAGACAAACAACAGGCGTCGAACATATTTCTTCGTGCTATGAAGTATGAAATGGAGGAGCTTAGCGCGGTGGTCAGAAGTGTCATTCCTTACATAGTGGATTGGTGCTTGTTCGCATCTCGAGCTGTCGGTTCATTGGACCTTCCACACTTCCAGCTTTGGTAAAATGGTGCCAAAGATATTTGAGGCGATAAAAGCACTGACATGATGAAACTATTGGCCACCGTAAGTCATTTTTTATGTTAGATACTCATTCAGTTACCTCTAACGACACTTGTTAAAGTCGAATACATGGGGTGTCTTTCTGGGATGCCTCTGCGGCAAACGCTTTATATTCCATGCATTTATAAAAAATCAATTCTTTCCAAAACATTGAAACATTGGAAAAGTGTCTTGCTTCGTGGTCACCATCAGAGTTCAATGTCATCAATACTGTGGAGTAGTCGTGACTATAAAATAACTGCGCGTGATCCTCGGATGTTTGCAATGGACGTCAAATAAGCGAGTAATACTTAATGCTATCATAACTCATATGTTGATTTTCACGCACTTAAATGAGCTTTATATAAAGTTTTTATCGTTTTGTTCATATTGGTTATTTGTTAGGAATTTCTGAAAAAAAAAAGGAAATTAAAGGCAAATAAATATTTATTCTAGGTAGCAAGGACCTCAACACTGCACTGGAGTGGATAACACGCAAGCCCCCGGAAAGAGTAAGCGAGGGTTCGAATCTGGCGTGGACACTAAGCTTTGCAAATATCTCAGCTCAGTTGGGGTTAAATATTTATAACTAAGAAAAAGAAAACACTCTGTGAAATAATAGACAGAAACTCACCTTCAGTCGGCGTAGTAATGGCTAAAATAACGTGAGTGACTAAGCGTGATGAACAAAAAGTAACGTAGAACTGTCCTATTACACATTACATAATTGAAATTAAACTAACTTATCATGGAAACCGTTTTGTTTAAATCATCTACCCAGAGTTTTCGAATTTCCACTGGCTGTTTTCCAATGCAGTACGGTGTCTGCAATAAATACTTTAGGAGCAATAGGCGTATAGGTGCAAATACTTTCTTATAGACATGATAGAAAAACCTCATATTTCCAACAATTAAAATATACAATCAATAAGAATGCCAAAACGTGTGTACATTACCTGTACAAGTGAATCTGAAGATTGAGTTCGATTACGACATTTGCAGGACCACCCAAGGAGCTCCCCTGATATGACTTCACTTTCCTTTAACGCGTATTCACAATAGCCATCCTCTTTGCAGGATGGGCAAGTATGATCAAACCATACGCTAAAAATTAAACAAGAGTATAAGAAATCAGTCAAACCAGCACGGACTTTTATTGTTGCAGTGTTACTGCTACATATTACACATTTTTAATTTGTCTGTGGCCAGTGCAAGAGTAACCAGAGGATTTTTTCCGCTCTAGAGACTCGTTGAGTATCATATCCTTCTTGTTGAGTGTTCGTGAAGAACCCGGACAGTCCGGTAGGTGGTCTTCCTGATGTGCGTTTAGCACGCCGTGGAGCTCAGTCGCTAACATCGATTGGCTATCGGTTTTTGCGTCACGTGTTCGGTCCACCTTGTGTTCAACAATTTGAAGTGTAGAACACCGCTTCTGATGTTTCATCGTTTACGTGAGTCAGATCCTTGTATACCTTCCTTCACTTGCCTTGTACGCGATACTCCCAACATCGTCTTCTCGGTGACTCCCTCTATGGTCTTGGAAGTTTTCCAAGCCGTTCTCATCTTTCTACTCAAGAGAAGCAGCCAGGGAAGAGCTGAATAGCGTGTGCTATATATAAGAATGATGTTTGTGTACTGAATAAGGATTCCCTGGCTCTTCTCTGGCTACTTCTGTTTCAATTGGATCGAAAGCTTTCTTTAAATCGATAAAAGTGAAAAGGAGCGGTTTCTTGTACCACACTGCCGTTCACTGAGTTTTACTATTGTGTAGATTTGGTCTATTGCATTGTATGCTTTTGGCAACCCTGGTTCTGGCAAGGCTGTACTTTACATTCTTAATCCTTTTTAAACTATAGCCTCAGCTTGACTGGGTCCAATACCGGTTTAGGCTTCCCAGATCAATCCCGTTGACGGGTGATTGCTGATGGCTGTGATCAATAGATTTAGCTGAGAGACAGGCGAAACGAAGGACCAGCATGGTGTGGTGGTGAACGCGTTACTCCACGGAAGAGACAATATCGCGTTCGTTCCCCACCGCAGACACCTGCGGTTCGGAGTTTTGCAAATATCTCAGTATTATAAAAGTTATATTATTAAAGTTATTAAAAGTTATTATTTAAAAGTTTATTATGAAAGTTATATTTAGCAACCTACCCAGCCATTAAAAAGAAAAGGATGTACTTCGTCCAGTGTCGTATAAACCCTATTCAACATGATTCGAGTGAAGAGTTCATAGACGAAAGAGAGCAACGAGATTAGGTGATAGTTGCTAATGTCGCCGAAGTCCCCCTTTTTGAACAACAACGACCTTGCCGCTGTTCAACTGAATAGGAACCCTGTTTCCAGAATTGACTTTCTATTAACCTCGGCACTGGAATATGAATGCGTCGCTTTCTTGTTTAGCAATCGCGAGTTTTTTTTTAGGAACCCTGTATTCTGACAGGTATATTATGAAAAGCTAAGCAAGTGTGAGGATGAGGAATGGTAGAAAATACTTTAGATGTTTGAGTATTATCCTCGTCGCACCAAGTGTTGTTCGATCCTTAACCGATGAAATAGCTTGCCGAATTTCGAAACGAGACGACACATCCACTCTCCTTTATTTCATACGAGGATAGGATGTAGCTATTAAAATGATCCAAGCTGTAGTCGCTGGAGATTTTCTCTATTTCCCTTTTGGAAGCTCCAATCACACCGCCTAGGTGTCGAACTAAAATCATCTCGGTCTTGTAATTACGAAGGTTTAGTTGAAGCTTCTCAATTTCTCCTCGGACTCTATAATTTCGGCAATTGCTGTAACTATTCTCTCTCTGCGATCTTCTTTTATCGCCTATCTACATTGTTTTGCAAGTTTAGAAATGAGATGGTGACTGCATGTGGCACATGCTCTTCGACGTTGGGTTATGACCTGAAATATTTTCGGAGACAGACGTCACTTGGAATCTTTCGAATTCTCAGGCTTCATAGCGCTAACGTGGAAATATTGAACTAAGCCGGCCGCATTCCTCGTCGGCATTGTCAAAGACGGTATTTTATCAAGAGCCAACTAATGTTCTGCGCAAATCCTAGTTTATGGTAATTTTAGGATTTTGTTTTTTGAACTTGGCGGCTTTCTCTCCTTTTCGCGAGAAATGGAATCTCTCGCGGAAGAGGCTACGGTCTAATACTGTGTGCAATTTTAGGACGACAGCGACATCGGTTAAGCAAAACCTTCGATTTATTATAATCTAATCTATTTCATTATGTCACTCTCCATTGTAAAACCCCAACGGCCAGCGCTGAGAGTGAGATTTATGGAATTCCGAGTTACAATGAATGGTCTTGGTTGTCGTGATAAACTCAGAGAGCCGCTCACCTTGGTCTTTCCACTCTAATCTGTGGGCCTCAATGTGGTGTTTCCAGACGTTTTTCTGGGTTAAATTTTAGCGTTTAAATCTTCAATGATAACCTTGAAGAATGTGTGGTGTTCTGTAACACTTCTCAAAGTCCACTTTGTCTGCCTGAGTTTGATGTCGGTGCGCAAACAAAAGAAATGAAGAAAAATAGAGAGAAAGCGACGAAAAGAAATACTCTAAAGAAGTATTCATTCGCATTTTGTGAAAGAAAATCGTTCGTTTTGGATTGTTGGTTGCTCGAAGAAAACGATGTTCGTGGCCAAAAACTCGTGTTGACGAGGACGATAATGCCTCCTACACCTCTATTGTCGCCTGTTTCAAGTAATGCTGGTTTCCGGTTCGTCGATGGTATTAAAAAAGCGACCCCTTTCCTGTCAGCCAGTTAGAAGTCATATTAACCCTATGCTTTTGGTCTCTTTTAACAAGCCCTCAATAGAGGAATCAGATGGAAATTAACGTACATTATACGTAAGAATCGTAATTCAGTCCGCCCAGGTTTAGGCAGATTGGAATGGCGCTAAGGCTTTAGCACCCTCTCCGTTCTCGTCATTCCCAGCGCTGCCGTATGGAGGTCTCTCTCAAAATCATGGGGTTGAGGTTCATTTAATTTATTGTTTGGCTTTTAATACTATTGCGTTACTTGCTCCTTTCAACGTGGGGGATGGATTTGCTGCCGGATAGCTTGCCAGTCTCTCCCAGAGGAGACGAATACCTTTTCTTTGTTGGAAGCGTCTAGCAACCATCTCCGATGTACTTCATTCCATCCACTCGATTGCGAGCTCATGGATGAGCTTTGTTATGGAATGTGGTCTACATATACTGAAACACACCCATGAATAAATTCACATGTCTGCATGCAAAAAACATGTGTATATCGCGGCAGCAGAAGAAGCGAGTCTATTTCTTCGATCCACTTGCGACTCAGGGAAGCACAATGTCGTTTTTCGTCCGGGTTTAACTACGTATGTACCACTTGTGCAATACTCCATAGCCTAGTGTCCCTCACTGAAATCAAAAAATTTGCTCGTGCCCGCCACGCAAATCATTGGACAGCCAGCGTAACGACAGGTGGTACAAGTGATTATATATTTACAACAACAGAGCGTGAAGCACATTGGTAAGAGGTTCCTGACAATGTACGTTTTTGGCGGCAGAATGCATCTATCAGGTCTTAGCCAACGTCAACGTTTTAGTTCAATTTATATATCTCAAGGAGGACGTTCTGTTAACTTCGGCATTGATCAATAATTCATTGTTTCATCAGTGAGCAAGCACGAGGTTGATGTTATAGCAATTATTAGCGCGCAATAAATAGCTGGCGTTCCGGCGGTTTCGCCTTCTTTGGAGGCTGGAAAGGTCAATATGACATGTAATCCAATTGGCATTGAAATCTAAATTGAGTTTTCCAGGATCTGAAGAAGGCGAAACTGCTCTAATGACAGCTATTATGTGTTAATATGGAATCCGTTATAAAGTGTTTACACATTAAATGGAGCGAGTGAGTCGAACTCAGATAAGTCGGGAACATTCTGCCAACCTATAAGAGATGGAAGAATTGGTGAACGCCGGAAACCTGATTGAACCATAGAACAATCCATTAAAAATGTATATATGCCTGATACTTGAACTTGAATAACCCGTCCTCACTAGTTGTGCGAGCCACAGCATAATCACCACTTTCTCGAATTTTTTCTAGTTTAGCCAGTGGTTCTCTGGAGTCCCGAGATCAGTTAGGCCAAAGTCTTCCCCAAGTCTTCACCACCACGGCCAGTCATAGCCCTTCTGGATCAAAGGAACCTTTGCCACCATGTGACTAGTTTCATGCCAGAACGGTGGTGGTTCCTGGTATTGGTTTACTCTCACCTAGGTTTCCTGATGGAAACGCCGGACTCCTTCCCAGCTTGGGAGACCCTGCCGCGCGGCCGAATGATCCCGCTGTACATCGCAGTCCGACACCCAAGAACACCTCCTAGCCACGATGAGGCGGGAAACCGTTGGGAGGAAAATGCATATATACATTTCTATTTATACAATTTATTATTTTATTCTACTCGTATTCGCATATACTTTGCAGATCCCATTATTTTTTGCATTCCTTCCTCACATTCATTGCTTTCGCTACCTCGCAGCCAGGCTAGAGCGGTGCCAGTAAGATTTCGGAGAGTTGTTTCCAGAGAAGTCCGGCATCAATTTCTCGAGATTGGAGAGACGATAGGCTTGATGAGCTTGTGGCAAGAAAGGTACAGAGTGGTGGTTATGACGAACGGCGTCAAAACCAATTCGTTGCTCGCAGCCTCATATATACATGTGCTTAAATGATAAAAGATAAAGCTCTAAGCGTTGATCAATCCTTGAGTGATACGTCATGCAATCGATTTCATTAATCATCGTTTGGAGGTGCTTGAATGCATATCTCGCCTTTACAATAACTCGCGGAAGCCGACCGATGTAACGAGCTAGTGATGCTATCCTCCCAGACAACTTTGGTATCAATTTGCAGGCCCCGGAGGGATGGGAGGCTTGATGGGCAGAGGGCATGGGGATCGATCCCATGTATGTGATGCAGGGAGCCTCAGAACACCGTGCCACATGTGTCCTATACATATGCATAAACATGGAAATATATATATACATATATATATATATATGTATATATAGCAAAATCATAGTAGTACCTGGCATTGAAACACGGCCAAGCAACCATCATCTCTCGATCAAAGGTACATACACATTTAGCCATCTGAATTGTTAGCTTTTACAGGAGTAGTTCAACATTTAAAAAATACAGCTAGCACTAACTATATTGATCTCGAAAGTTACTGTGCGCTTATCTGACACAAAAACAAATTTCAGTTGCCATTTATGGTTAATTTAGCCGAATTTTAAGGAAATATAAGGTGTCGACAATCAATAGCATTGGCATGCTGCTTCCGTAAAGAAAGTTAATATTATCAGAGGAAGAACTCAATAGTTTAATGAGAGCGAAAAAGGAAGGTGATGATAAAAAACACTGTAGAAGAAGTAGCAATATAATCCTATGGCTCTGCGAAAAAAGAAGAAGAGTTGAGTGAACGGATTTCGAAGATTCCGAAAAACTCACTTCATCTTTTGGTGGTGTCTCAAATCGAATACATTCCATATCGATATTCCCAACACATCGACAATGTGCTTCGACGGCTTCATAACGTGGATTGAACGTTGTCTGAACTCGTTTCCATCCATAAAATTGCACTGTTTGGAAAATCTGTTTTTTTAAAAGATCTGTCGCTTTCGAGACCATCCCACACTTGTAATATTAAGCGACTCATTTTAAAGATTGCTACTCAAAAAATAATTTCAGTTTTGTAAGTGTATTCCTGAATTTTTGTTCCTGGAAAAGTCTTGAAGAGCTGCCATTACGGTCGAGAGATCAGGAAGATGATTAACCTGGCAGAATGGATCCAATCGTCAATAAACTACGCAACCATATTTTGTCGTACTCACATCTCTTTTCATAATTCGCCGAATCGCTCCTCGTGCTTCTCGCTCATTTCGTAATTCTTCTTGTTCTTGCGCGATTTCCTTTTCGAATAAATGGAGTACCTAGAACACACGAAATTAATGCGCTGTTAGGCTCAAAAAGACTTTTGTTGAGGTTGGCATATGTCTTGCAGACATTTGAAAACCTGCTGATCTATAACACATTAGTTACCCTTGTATATACATATGTATATATATGCATATATATGTATGTATATAAAAGGGTAGATAGCGCAGTAGTAGTGACATTGGTCACGATTACGTTGCTGGTTCGATCCCGTTCAGAGCTCATCAAGATTTTCATCCCTCCGAGATCATGGGATTGGTATCAAACATGTCCGTGACAGTTCACACCATCCAATTCAAGTGAGAATGCTTTAGCCCAATTATATCAGAGCTCTAAAAAGAATCGACTTGGTCGGCATTCAACAATATAAAAAAACGCGACAATTCTCAAGCAGCAGTCGAATCCACACCAAAAAATTCGGTCTTCGTGGATGATGGATGCGGGAAGCGAATCGAATCCGTGAAGTTTCTTTGATCCGCAGAGTACATGTTAAGAGAGGTCGTATAAAGTCTAAGTAAATATTCTCGACCCTTATTTTATAAACAAATCCTGTGTGAAATAAGACATGTTATCGAAATTTGTTTTCTTTAAAGACTTTCGTTTCTAAACGATTGTTTAGTTGAACCTGCCATGAAAATTATAGAAGGCAGAAAACAAAACGTTAAACATTGTGATTTCAACTACAGCCATAGCTTAACTGGGTTCTATGCCGATTTGCGCTCCTCAGATCAACCCCGCTGACGGGTGATTGCTGTGGCAAAAAGATCGATAGAAATAGCTGAGAGACGTGCGAAACAAAGGACCCGCATGGTGTGGTGGTGAACGCGTTACTCCCCGGAAAGGATAATAACGCGTTCGTTCCCCACCATAGACACCTGCGGTCCAGAGTTTTGCAAATATCTCAGCAACGTTGTGGTTGTATTTCGCTTAGTAACCTGTCATGAAAATTATAGAAGGCAGAAAACAAAACGTTAAACATTGTGATTGTTTAGTTGTTAGAATAATTGATAATCGGAAGGGGTTCACTGTTTGGGAAATCTCAAGAGTGACTTCCTTTTAACCTCAGCATTGATCAATGAATCACTGTTTTTCTTGATGAGGAAATACGAGCCTGATATTACAGTATTTTTAATGCACAATAGTTAATCTTTCGGCGGTTTCTCCATCTGCACAGCCTGGAAGAGTCAAAGTTACAGACAATCCACTTAGTCCTAACCTCAGCAGACAAAACTTTCTGGGAAATATTTGTCCGACTTACTACACTGGTTGCACCCTAATCAAGGCCAACTAAACACGCTCACCCTTCATTCGATAAATTAGCACTAGAAGTGTTTAAGTAAAGCAGCTACAAAATTCTTTTCGACGAATGTATGGAGTGAAGATCTAGAAAGATCTATAGTGTAGACACTCCATTGCAGTTTACCCTAGAATTTCAGCAGGAGGCAACTTGACAATCATTCAGCTATATTTATGAAAAAGTTAAAATTACTGAGTGATTAATGGTGATCAAATGATGAGATGATGCGACTGAAATGAGTGATTTCAACTACAGTCTCAGCTCAACTGGGTTCAATGCCGATTTGGGCTCCCCAGATCAATCCCCTTGACGGGTGACTGCTAATGGTCGATATCTCGAGATCGATAGAACTATCTGAGAGACAGGCCGAACTAATGACTCGTATGGTGTGGTGGTGAATGCGTCAGCCCCCTAAAAGGGTACTAGCGCGTTTGTTGAGCACCGCAGACATCCACGTTTCGGAGTTTTGCAGATATCTCAGCATCGTTGCAGATTTATTTCGCATAATACCCTGTCGTAAAAATTTTAGTAGGCAGAAAAAGTAAACAGAGACGGATAATCTTCGGAACATCCGCAAGTGTTCTTGTCGTGAAGAAGAAGGGTATTTTAAGTGGAACCAGTTAATCTTCAGAGTTGAACAACGGATGACGTAAATCACATTGAGCAGTGGTGCGACAAACTTTCTAAACCCTAGCAACAAAGAACAAGCAAGTTTTCATAAAAGTCTGGCCACAGTTTATAAAGTAACAATCCTCCTAGTGAGAACGCTGACTCTTGTGTAAATGGCTAATGTAGTCGTCTCAATTCTAGTTTCTAATGACAGTTTCCTTCAAAAATTCTATTCTGTGCAACTGAAGAAACTGCGCATTGGTAAAAACCAATGCGAGCTGCTTTACCGGAGTCGTTAATTTGCTAAGGAAGTGGGTACGATGTTCACTTAATCTTCCAATAACAAAGGCTGTTCAAACTGGTCTTGATGCCATTTAAGTGACCGGGACATTCTAGCGCATCTTAGCGCCAATACTCATAAATTCGCACAACCTTGCACGTATTTTTTTTCTGCAAAACTATTGCTTCAATGCAATTCATGAAATTCTAGAACACTCCTTACCTTTTGGTTTCCCTCTAGTCGTGCACTTACCCTCTTCGCAGAATCTGAAGAGTACTGCTTTCGTCGGAATTTTGGCTTCTTCGGTTTACCCGCTTTACTATCGGTTTTTGCGTTGTCATACACATCCATCTAAAGAGTGTCACGAGAAATCAATGTGTATGCTTTGTGCATTGCATGCATTCGAAGTGTTTGTTCGTTGAGCTTACCGTATCACGAATTGACGGCACCAAGCCCACCAAGCTTTTTTTGTATGGATTAAGATTACAGAACGTAATAGCGGGAAATTCCAAGTGATCGAACTTTATCTGAAGAACAGTTCTGCACTGCTATTTTAGTTTTTTGCCATATGGTAACTTGTTAGCGATATCAACTCACCGATATGCTCGTAATTTTGTCGTGTTTTTTATATTTCATGATAAGTGTTCCAGCTTGATAGAGAAACAGTGTGAGAAAGAATGCCATCAGACTCATCCAAAATAGTCGACCGATGTCGTTTTGAGCAATAAGTATTCGTTTCGCTCCATGTGCTGTAGTTTTATCGGCAAAATCTTTAAATTTGTCCTTTACAGGCTTGTCATCATCAAAATTCGCTGGCAGTACTGTGTCAGGTTTCGAAAATGCGAACTGATCGTAGTTAGGCTGACGTTGACGTAATTCATTGCTCATTCTTGTCCATCAGAATTAAAGTTGAAGAAATCCTCGTGACCGTTGAAATAACTACAATATGATTACTTTACCATTAATGGTATCGTTATTAAAGTATCTATTTAAACATAGCAACAATAAGAAAGAGCCGACAATATTTATCCAATCACATGCGTACTTCCATGAATAAACCGGATTGTCCGGAAACAGCGAGGGCCACAAACTTGAATTCACAACGACCAGTGCTAGCGGCCATATTGGCCGAACCCTCTCACTGTGGAAACACAAGTAAACAAAACTTATTTAGTTGTGCACTGCATTCGCCAGGTAATTATGCCATATACAAGATGTTCTGTTCTTGCATTCTTGCATAGGAATTTTTTCGGTGAACCATACGAGGCTAATAGAGATTCTTCAACTAACTTGGATATCAGCACATTCACATCGCTGTGAACAAAACGTTGCCCACACAAGCTGTTCTATATACATGCATATATATATATCCATGGATCTTCCTCATATGATGAAGGATATCGAGCCGGTTAGTTTCGAGGCTACGTGGCGCGTCCCCAGGTGGCGGACAGGGGGTTAATCGCATACCAAAAGCGGCCTTTGCTTCCCTGAGACGCAGGTGGAACCAAGGGATGGACACCCTGTTTTTGCTGCGCTGATTTAGCCCATACTTTCTTTATTTGCGAGGCGTATTCATGCATGCATGTGTGGATACGTTCTTGCTTATGCGGATTGTACTCTACGAGTCAATTCGGCCAAAAGCCTGCAATCAAGTGGCTGGGAAGTACATGGGAAGCAGTTAGGAGTCGCCCCCAACAAATAAGCTCCATGTCCACTCTGGGAGAGCCTGGCAAGCTACCTGTGATTATACCTAGCCCACACGTTCAGAGCTCAGCAAGCTATACGTCGGTATCAAAAACGTTAAACACAGTAAAAAAAAAAGCGGGCCTCACTCCCTTGACCCTGAAGGAGTTCCCATTTTCGCAGCGTTGAGTAGGACGAGTGCGGAGAGGCTGCTCTCAGGGTCAATGGAAGCTGCCTGGATTTCGAAGAACTATGGTGACAATCTGTAGCTAGAATGCACGTACACTTGCATCCGAGTCCTAGATAGAAAACTTGCTCATACAAGCAAGAAGTACGACGTCATCGGCCTGGCCGTGACGAGAAGACGCCAGCCTTTCAACGCCGTCTTTGACACCGGAGAAGAACTGTACCTGGGAATATGCGACAGCAGAGTAGACGGCGTGGGCGTTCTCGTCGACGCGAGTTTGTCCATGAACATCGATTTATCCGAACAACTTAAGACCCAGAGCGGACGTTCACGATTAAGAAGACGTGGACCAATTCCGGTTTTGACAATCTTCGTCGTTTACGCTCCGACATCAAACTGTGACGAAGTCGAAGCGTTCTACATGGATTTGGAGAAGTTCTACAGAAAAGACCATACATTCTTTAAATTCATCACAGAAAAATTTAAGGGTAGGATTTGACCCAGGAGAACGTCTGAAGATCGTCACATTAGGACACACGGATTAGAATGGGACGAACAGGGTGAGCGGCTTTATGAGTTTATCATGGCGACCAAGACAATCCATGGTAACTCGCAATTCCAGAGGCCCCACTTCCAGCGCAGGACGTGGGAGTCTTCTAATAGAGTGTATCATAACGAAATAGACCACATCGTAGTAAATAGGTCTTCCTTAACCGACGTCAATGTTGTCTCAAAATTTTACACGGGATCAGACCACCGTTTCCTTCGTGCAAGATCCTATTTCTCGCGGAAAGGGGAAAAAGCCTCTAAATTCAAAAACCGAAGTCCTAGAACCACCGTAAGCTGACATTTATTCAATTCATTAGTCGGCTGTTAGAAAGATACCGTTGTCGATAACATCGACCAAGAATATGATCGACTCATTCAACATCTTCACGTTAGCACTATGAAAGCTTAGAGTTCGAAAGCCACCAAGAGACGTCTGTCTCCAGAAACACTCGAGCTGATACGCCAGCGTGGAGTCGCATGAGCTGCAGGCCAACGCGAACTAACCCCCGAACTTGCAAAACAATACAGACAGGCGATAAAAGAAAATCTTGAAAAGAGAAGAGCAGCAGTAATGGCCGAAGCTGCAGTGGCTGGGAAAAGCATTCGCAAAGCCCACTGAAGCTTCGCCAACTACATGACCAAAACGATTGCTGTCCGGCGCCCAGACGGAGCAGTTAAAGCGTCCCGAAAGGCAATGGAGAAAATCATTCACGAATGCTACTCGGACCTTTTTGATAGCCACGTCCACCTTCCGTCATATGAAATAAAGGACGATGGATATGTTGTACCACCGGTTCGCCTTTCCGAAATCCGACATGCAATTTCGTCGGTGAAGAGTCAAACAGCACCAAGTGCGGACAAGATAGAAGCAGAACACCTAAAAAACCTTCCGCGTGTCCTCATAAACACACAGACTAAGCTCTTCACACGTTACCTGTCTGAATGCAAGGTCTCTAGCAGCAAGACCGTGTTATTGTTTAAGAAGAGTCGCTTACACGATATCAGCAACTATCGCCCAATTTGCTTACTGTCTGTCGCTTACAAACAATTCACTCCAGTCATCCTAAACAGGATTGAAAGAACGCTAGACGATGGAGAACCATGTGAGCAAGCAAAGTTTCGAAAACGATCTAGTACGACGGACCATATCCATACGATAACAAGATAACGATACTCATTGAAGTATCGCGAGAGTACAAAAGACCACTCCGTCTCACTTTCATCGGTTTACAGAAGGCCTTTGATTCAGTTGATATAGAAGTAGTCGTGGAAGCCCTTGGTAGTCAAGGAGTCCCTACTCAGTACACAAAGATTCTTCATGAGCTGTACAAAAATTTCACAACCAAGATATCACCATTCTACAACGATATTAACATTGACGTCAAAAGACGAGTTAGGTAAGGCGATAACATCTCGCCAAAAGTATTTACCGCCACCCTCCAGAACGTCATGCGAACATTGGAATGGGATAATATGGGAGTGAAAATCAACGGTTCAGCAGTTACACCATCTTCGCTTTGGTGATGACATCGTCCTTATAACACCAAACATTAACCAGGTGGAGCGTATGCTTGATGACTTTGATAAAACCTGTGGAAAGATTGGTCTTTGACAAAATCTCACAAAAACGATGTTCATGAAGAACAAATTGGTCTCGCATGCCCCATTCGCGTTCAAGGAACGAATATCTTCGAATGCTCCAGTTATATCTATCTGGGTCGGGAAATCAACATGATGAACGACCTAGCTCCACAGCTGAGCAGAAGAAAATGAGCGGCTGGGAAAGCTTCCAAGAGCTTCGAGGATGTAGTAAAGAATACAAAGAACACCCGACTCCGTGCCTACCTTTTCGACTCAACGGTACTTTCTGCTCTAACCTATGGGCCAGAAACCTGGTCGCTGCGTAAGCAGAATGAATGGTCACTCAGCGTTATCTAACGCGCCGTCGAAAGGACGATGCTATGAGTATCCCGTTCCACACAAGTAAGGAATGGGATCCGAAACTCCGATCAACATTAGTGTTTAAAAATCAAGGATGCCGTTCTGTTCGCCATACAGTCGAGAATAAGGTGGGCCGGACACGTAATGCATATGAATGACAACCGGTGGACATGAGCCGTTAGTGACTGGATTTCTCGGGATGTTGAATGCGGTGCAGGAAGACCATCGACTCAATGGTCAGAGTTCTTCACGAAAAGCCTGAAAGGAAGATATGATGCTCGACGTGTTCCTAGAGCGAGCAAAACATACTGGGCTACTCTTGCACACGACAGAGGAAAATGGAAGATTTACTGGCGCCCGCTCGAGTCACTCGACGATCAACGGGAGTACAGGTGATACAGGTGATACAGATGATATATATATCTATATATGTATACATATAGATATGTCATGTGTACGTACATATGTATATTGGACGACATACAAATATATAAGTATGTATCTGTGTATAAATACTTATTTACACGTATATTTGTGTTTACTTGAAATTTATTAACTTTGAAAAACAAAATTTTAGATAGAATAAAGTGAGATTTGAATGCTGTTCAATGTCACCTATACATAGTGTTATCTTTTTCCTTTTCACCAGCCGCAAAAACATGTTGAATTAAATGGCTAAGTTAAGTTATTTGTTTATATTTGTTTCGATGATTAAAAGGCACACTACATTTGGAGTCAGAGCTTGTAGCCCGCAAAAGAAGTAGAATGAACGCCAGGTGTGAAGGTGCCGAATGAATGGACTTTGTCTGCGCTCCTTGCTCTCTGTTGCATTCCATTACCGTACCACATTCACTCTGCTAGCGCGCCCGAGGTGAAAGCGACAATACGACGGCTAGAGATCACTGACTGATAAAACAGGAAAACACGAACAGAAATCTTGATATTGTCGCAGGTAACGGCCTAGACAACTGACCATCATTAAAGTCAGAAAACTATTGATGTGTTGCCAATGATCCGACAAATTGCTATCGCAAGCAGACGAATTCAAGAGCAGCAGCTGTGCCTCTTGTGCAGTGAATCATAGGCTTCGTGAACTGATAAATGATCCAAAATGCGCTAAATTTAATTATAGCACATGATAATCTACCGCACTGAAAAAATTCGAAAACACCTATGTACTTGCACATAAACATATACATATAGACACATGCACATGCAGATATATACACACATAACTGAAAAGACCGACTTTATAAACTTTGGCACAAATAGTCAATATATCTACACATACGTTCACTCACTCCCACTTCCAGTGGTACTCCCACTCACAGTAGCACAGCTCTGAAGGAGACGAAACCGCCGAAACATCAGCCATCGAACAAGAACAAGAACAACAACAATAGCAACGGCAACTTATACCAACCTCGCATTGGCTCAACAAGGGCCGTTCATAAGAACATACATACATCCGTATATACACAGTGAGGTTTAGACAACTTTGATGAATTTTAGTATCCGTTATAGTTCG